ACTAAAAGTTAAAGTTATTTAAAACAGAGTATCTTTTTTTTTTCTTTTTTGGAGACAGATTCTCAACACACATCTCTGGATGTCTTGAAACTCAGTAGTCCAGGATGGCCTTGAGCTCATTGATTAAAATCCTGGCTGGGGCTGGAGAGATGGCTCAGTGGTTAAGAGCACTGACTGTTCTTCCAAAGGACCTGGGTTCAATTCCCAGCACCCACATGGCAGCTCACAACTGTCTGAAGATCCAGTGCAGGGGATCTGACACCTTCACACCAATGCACATTAAATAAACCATAAAAAATATTAAAAATAAATAAATAAATAAATAAATAAATAAATAAAATTCTGGGATGCTACCCTGGCCTTGAATTCTCTAATCTTAATACCATTTTATTTATTTATTTATTTTTCAATGCACACTGTTTATTACAGTAAAACCAGGCAATGACCGACAGCACACTGCTTATGGAACACTGGTAAACTTGACTTACAGGATGCTTAGCCCGGACAGCTACAGTTTGTCCCAGAAAGACCAATGGCCACAGGAGCCACACTTCAGACCTGATAGTTGCTGCTTCAACGGGTGGGTTCACATATATGCTCACCCCCCCCCCACAAAAAACCCAAACCCAAAAAAACCCTTGCAACACAACAAATTGCCTTTATTTCGGTATGCATCCATATTTCAACATTTAGTGGTCCTGAACAGAGTGAGGAACATGGCAACGAGCCAGGAGGCTAGGCCCACTGAAAACTCGTGACACGGAGCTCCTCCAGGTCCCTGCTGAGGGTCTGAGGAGCAGCAACACTGAAACCTGAGTCCACAGGGTCAGGGCCTCTGTTCCAGCTGTCAGGCTCCCCATCAGACCGGATGGGTGGCCAGGGAGCCCTGTCCAAACCTCTTCAGTTTGTAAAAGCAAAGCGATTATGAGAAAAGGAACCGACACAGAACCCCGTGCACTTAGGACTCTCTGCATGGCCTTTCTCTAGGCGGAATCACCAAGGACCCTGAACACTGGCAGGTTTGTTGCCTCGTGACTGCTCTGTTCACCTCGAGACCTGAGCTCAAAGTGCATCGGCTGATGGTGGCAGCAGGGCTGAGGACCCAGCACCCCTTCCCAGGCTGGTGGCAAGTGAATGTGTGGTCCAGAGCTAAGTGAGGGAGGCCAGGCTCTTCCAACCTCATTTGATGGCTTCTGGCCATAGCAAGTGTTGGGTGGTGATGGGCAACAAGGGAATTGAGGAGGGGAAAAGCAGCACCCCTTGATAAAGGTGGGGATACGGGAAGCCCTGAATTCCTCACCCACGGCCAATTTCAGAGGGAGGGGAGGGTTACAATCTAAGACTTGGCCAAGGGCGGGAGTGGAGGAATGGGGGAGACGATGGCTTGGACGGGGCATCACTTAAGACTTAAGGAAGCAGGGGTACAGCCAAAGCACCCCAAGCCCAGCAGTAGTCCCATGGCTGCTACCTGAAGCCTTCCCATCTAGTCTAAGGGCCACCACACAGCTGTGGCAGGAGGGCGGGGCGGGCAAAGGCAGACCCAGGCCGTGTGTCAGCAGCAGGTGATTGTGTGACGTGTCTGTTCACAGTTGCATTAGCTGTGCCCACCGCTCCCAAAGGAAATTGATTTCAACACACCTTCTTGACCCCAGAAGTTCAACTAGGCAGCCAGCGGTTACACTTGACAGAAGATGTTACACAGCACAGCTCAGGTATTTCAAATGGACAGAAATTAGTATCAGAACAGTGTCTCAGGATGAAGTCTCAGTGGAACTTCCTCTCCAGGACTTTGAGGTCTACAAGATGAATCTAGAAAATTCACTACTGTGGAAAATGAAGACTTAGGTTGGATGGGGAGGGGAGGCCTGGGCCCTGGTGACTAATTGCTGCAACACTGTCCTTCTGGCGGCTGTGGCAGCTTCATGTTCTCTTTTGACATCATCAAGCGTCGAAGCTCCTGCAGGATGACTTTGATGCTGTGGGAATTCTGCCACTTTGCCAGCACTGCTGTGGCCCTTGGGTCCACCACGCCATTTGAACTACTCATGCCGCTCATATTGACTTTTGTTACAAATCTTACAGACGGAGGTGCTTCTGGGTATTTAGGCCCACATTCTATTTTAAGGCTGTATATTCGGTTTTCATAAATTGTTCTTGGAGGCCCAATTATCATCCCTGTCCATCTTGTAAGTGTCATGTCTTCGTCGTCCTCTAGACCCCAGCTAACTGTGCCGTCGCCTACTCCTTTCTGGCCTTCTTCCAGCTCTTCTAACAGTCGGAAATTTCGAGGGACTTTTACTCCCGAGCCTGTGGTGGCTGCCATCTTGCGTCGCTGTCGCTCCCTTAATACCATTTTAAATTACGCCTCTAATCCCAGCATTGGGGAGGAAGAGGCAGGCGAGTTCGAAGTCAACCTGGTCTACAGCTTGAGTTACAGGACAGGTTCCAAAAACTACAGAAAAACCCTGTCTCAAAAATTCCAAAACAAACAAAACAAAACAACAAGAACAAAAAATCAATCTTACTTTTGGGTCTGGAGAGATGGCTCAGAGGTTAAGAGCATGGACTGCTCTTTCAGAGATTCTGAGTTCAATTCCCAGCAACCACGTGGTGGCTCACAACCATCTATAATGAGATCTGGTGCCCTCTTCTGGTGCGCAAGCATACACAGAAGGAATGTTGTATACATAATAAATAAATAAATCTTTTTTAAAAATTACCTTTAAATGGCTGAAGAGCTACTGGCAATACTAATGGGGGAAGGAGCTGAAACTCCTTAAAATTAGAAAGACTGTAAAATGACTTTTACCTCTGCATTTTATTCAAGTATATGTGAACCAAAGTGGAAGCAGCATCTTTAAAACCATAATTCTGTTCTAACTACTGTTAATTCTTTTTTTAATTTTTCCCCATCCCCAGCTTCTATTAATTTTGGCTCAGACATCTATTTTACTCATGAGAAACTGGACATGGCCACTGAATTGTTTTCCTAAGTAGTGGTGATTCACACTCTCATCCCTTCTCTTGTGACTAAGGGACACTATTAGAGGAAACTGCCTGTGCAGCCTCCACCGGCCCCCAGAAGACTTCCTTAACAAACCGTTCACAGGAACTCTATGGGGACAAGCAGACAGGTATTTAAAAAGATCCGGAAAAACTTAATGACTTACAAGCCTTTATAAGATTTAAACTCAGGCTTTAGTGTTGGGTATGGTGGTTCATGCCTATAATCCCAGTATTCAGGAGGCTGAGTAAGAGGTTCGGAAGTTCAAGGCCACTTCCTGCTCTAGAGCAAAGGCCAGCCTGCGTTTTAGTAAGACCCTCTCTCAAAACCAATAGCGGCAAAAACTAAATAAAAAGTACTGTTTGGGTGACCATGATGCTGCATGCCAACACTGGGGAGGCAGACAAAGACACAGATACACACAGATATATACACACATAATTAATTAATTAGGAGAATTCCAAGAGCCAGACAAGGTGGCATATGTTTGATAAACCCCGAATTTGGCTCTGGGGATGGAGGAGTAGTAATTCAAGGCCAACCTAGACTACGTCGCAGGACCCTGTTTCATCTCTCCCAAGCTAGGTCTGGTGGCAGCCTGGGTCGATAGTCCCAGCTACTGAGGCTGAGGCAGGAGCATAACTGAAACCCAGAAGAGAGCAACGTGATAGGCTGTTCACTGGGGAGCGAGAAAAGGGGGCAAAAGAAATGTTCAGATTGAATTGAGCAGACGAACTGGGAGCTGAGTGACTAAGGAAAACCGAGCTGTGACAGTGATGAGCCCACGGAGGCTCTGAGCCTCTTACTTTCCCAGGGTCATTTAATGAGACTGGGTCGCAGGTTTCCACAGGTCGTTCCACTGCCAGTAAGAAGACTGTCGTGAACTTTGGGCCCCTTTTTCTTTCACTAGTCAACAGTCACCCTCACCTACACGCGGAGCACATATTTGGCACTCAATTTTTTTTTTAATCGAATGAAAACCTACCTTACTCATCGTGGTATCCAAGCCCTACTTACGGCCCTATAAATTATCTCCAACAGACCTTCTTGACTTAACCCAAATAGCTAAGAAAGCAGCAAGGAAGTTTAGGGGGACTTCTGTAACGGTTGGGACCTCTCAAGAACCAAGAGGGTCTACACCAAACCAATTTCCCGTGGAAAACTTAATGACGGGGTTAGGCAGCTGAACCTCCGCTGGTCGGCTTGGGCGTCCACAAGGAGGTGGCCCAGAGGACGCAGATAAGTGACCTCCCACTCGGGGTCACTGAAACATCTGGAGGTTATTACTCCCAAAAGTGAGTACCTGGGAAGCTACGGCACATACCTCTCATTCCGGAGGCCGGGGCCTGGAGCCGGCCAATCGCGCCTCCCGGCTGAGGGTTCCGCGCTCCGGGGCGGTATAGGCAGCACAGGTGGTAGAGAGATACCTCACGCTTTACGAGGCTCCTGTCTCCAAGAACTGAGCAAACTGTCGGGCCGATGTCAACTAGTTTTCCTCAGAGCTGCTTCTTCACGCGTCAAGCGATCTTTCCCGCCCTAAGCCAGCAACCAGTCGCCAGTCGGCGCCGCCATCGATAGTGTTTGTTTTTATCCGCTTCGGTGCAGGCGGTGGGGGAGAGAGGGCGCTGTGTGGGAAATGCAGCTGTCAAACAGCAGTTGCACTTTCGCTACAGCACAGACGCCCTATTTAGTCTTTCGGTACCTCAGAGTCTCCATGAAAGTTGGTTTCTTTCCAGAAATAAATCTTTTGCACAATTTTAAAGGCTCTTAGAAAAGAAGAGTGCATGGAAAGGAATTTTGGGAGCTCGAGACCATTCGGGCTCCGTGTGGAATGTTCGGAGCGAAGCGCAGGTCGCGGCGGCCCCGGTGCCGAGGACGCGGCGTGGGCGGGCGCTGACGCGAAGGGGGCGGTGCCGCTGTTGCGCAGCGTGGCAGCCTGTGCGCCGCCGCGGGTTCCGGAGGAGGGCTTCTCGGGCTGGGCGGGCGGGGTGCGCTCCCGGTAACCGTGCCGCTGCGGCGATCTCGTGCCAGCCGCCGCCGACTCCGGGTGCCCGAGCAGTCAGGCTGGTATTTTGCTCTTTTGAGACAAGGTCTCTCTGTGTAACTCAGGGTTACAGGGATTAGAAGGTACTGTTGCTCAAGATGTCCTGGCTCACTCGGCCATGCTGCTTCCCCAGCTTCCAACTTTACAGACGTTACTCTTATCGCTGGGCCAGTCTTGGGAGTCTTGTTTTATTATTCTTTTTTTGGCTGGCTCTCTCGTAGTCCAGGCTTGCCTCGCACTTCCATTACTTTCACCTCTCATGTACTTGAATTACAGTGAGCCACCATGCCTGGGTTTGGTATCTTTTCATTGCACAACCTTTAAAGGAATAAACTTTTTCAAAATATATGTTTACGTATTGGAGGAGGGGCGTGCTGTGGCAGGGATGTGGACGCCAGGACAAATTGCGTCAGACAGTTCTTGCCTTCCACCATGTCAGGAATGGGCTCATTTCTGCAGTCTTCGCAGCCCACCCCAGTGCCCTCGGAGCCCTCTCTCTGACCTTAATAATATTTTGAAAGCGGGTTGTAAAAGTGGCCCCGGCTTTCCAAACTTGTTTCTCCTTTTCTTTTCATACTGGCTAGCCTTCCTTTCTAACCTTCTGCCTGGGGATTTGAACCCCTTGAGATAGGCAGAGGCCGGGCGGTGGTGGCACACGCCATTAATCCCTGTAGGGGCAGGCGGATCTCTGAGTTCGAGGCCAGCCTGGTCTACAGAGCGAGTTCCAGGACAGGCTCCAAAGGTACAGAGAAACCCTGTCTCGAAAAACAAACAAACCAACAAAAAATTCAGATAAAGGGAATGCCAGTCACAGCAGATGAAGTAGGTCCCCAGGCAGGGTCAAGGACTTCTTTTCTTCCCTCCTAGCTTCCTAGTTAGACTGGTTTGAGCACTCCCACATCGGTCTTGTACTTACAAGGTGGAGCCTTACATAGGGCTTTGGAAAACAAACCTCCATGACGAAGCCTTTAGGTGTTTATGACTCGTAAGCTGCTTACTGGCTGCTGTACAGACCATCACCTGCATTAATCTTTTGCTGTTCTTAGTTGAAATGCCAAGCATGAAATGAGTCACTGAGATTGAACTCCTATTGTCTGAGAATCAGGCCAAATTCGTCATATATTGGTGAGTTAGTGTAGAAAAATCCAGAGTTAAAAAGTGAATTGCTGGAAAGGTGTTGTAGTTTTGAGTCAGTTTGTTTGGTTTTGGTAGGTTTCTAATGATTTTATCTTTTCTTTTTTGTTTTTGTTTCTTTTTTGCTTTCAACACAGGGTTTTTCTGTGTAGCCCTGGCTGTCCTGGAACTCACTCTGCAGACCAGGCTGGCCACAAACTCAGATCCGCCTGCCTCTACCTCCCAAATTCTGGTCTTAAAGGTGTGAACCACCACCACTCAACTCTAATTGTTTTTTTCCCTTTAATTACTTTGCAGGAAGAAGGTTTTAGATGCCAGAGCCGTTTAACCGATGGTTTAGCTGTTGAATTCTGACACTTCTTTTGCCAACCTGTTCGTTGGGAAAAATTCAGAAAAAACAGACGTGTATATCTACATCGGCTATGGCTATACCAATAACAGTGCTTGACTGTGATCTCTTGCTGTATGGCCGAGGTCACCGGACCTTGGACCGTTTTAAACTGGATGATGTGACTGATGAATATTTGATGTCCACGTATGGATTTCCACGACAGTTCATTTACTACTTAGTGGAACTCTTGGGGGCAAGTCTTTCTCGACCTACTCAGCGATCTAGGGCTATTAGCCCAGAAACTCAGATCCTGGCAGCATTGGGCTTCTATACCTCAGGCTCCTTCCAGACTCGGATGGGAGATGCAATCGGAATTAGTCAAGCCTCCATGAGCCGATGTGTTGCCAATGTCACTGAGGCCCTCGTGGACAGGGCCTCACAGTTTATTCACTTTCCAGCGGATGAGGCCGCCGTCCAGTCTCTGAAGGATGAGTTCTGTGGGCTGGCAGGGATGCCGGGAGTCATAGGGGTGGTTGACTGTATCCACGTGGCAATCAAGGCACCGAATGCTGAAGACCTCTCTTATGTGAACCGCAAGGGTCTGCATTCTTTGAACTGTCTGGTGGTGTGTGACATCAGAGGGGCACTAATGGCTGTGGAGACACGCTGGCCAGGTAGCCTCCAGGACTGTTCCGTGCTACAGCAGTCTTCTCTATGCAGTCAGTTTGAAACTGGGATGCATAAAGATAGCTGGCTTCTTGGTAAGTTTGTATATGTAAATCTTCAGTTTATACCCAGAGAGAAGTTATGCCGTAGAGTGGAGGGAGTCCAAGATTCTATTCTGTAGTCTTGTTCTTTGTCTTCATACTTCCTCTGTGTAGCCTCAGGAGAACTCTCTGAGCCTTCGTGTTTTTCTTTCATTATTATTGCTAGCCCTGTAGACAGGCTGGCCTTGAACTCAGACATTCACTTTCCTTTGCTTCCCGCGTGCTAGGGTAAAAGTGTATACCACCACACCCTCATAGTTATTTTTATACTATTTCTATACTAGGTATCAAACCCAAGGTTTGGGAATGTCAGGCAAGGCTTCTACCACTGAACCTTCTACCTTTGTATCTTGATTAAAAATAAATCAATATTTAAGGGATGGAGAGGTATGCTCAATGATTAAGAGCACTTGTTCTTGCCAGGCGGTGGTGGCGCACACCTTTAATCCGAGCATTTGGGAGTCAGAGACAGGTGGATCTCTGTGAGTTCGAGGTCAGCCTGGTCTACAGAGCTAGTATTCTAGGACAGGCTCCAAAGCTACAGAGAAACCTTATCTCAAAAAAATGGAAAAAAAAAAAAGAGCAGTTGTTCTTGCAGAGGACCTGGATTTGATTCCCAGCACGCGCACGAAGGCTTTCAGTTACCCACAACTCCAGTTCCAAGGGATTCAGTGGCTTTTCTCCTCCTTAGCACAAGGCATGCACATGGTATACAGACAAATGCACTTGCAGGCACAACGCCCATACATATAAAATAGATGTTTAAAATTTTAAACAAAAACAATATTTAAGCTGGGTGTTGTATTTGCTTGTAATCCCAGGACTGGGGAGGCTGAGGCAGAATGCTCTCAAGTTCTAGGCACAACTTGGGCACGCCTCTCAGAGACCATACCGTCCCCCCCCCCCCCCCCCCCCCGCAAACAAAACAACAAAAGAGGGTGGCAAGATGATTTATCCTATAAAGGCACTTGCCACCAAGCCTGAAGACTTGAGTTCAGTCTTCCACATGGTGGAAGGAGAGAACTGGTTCTGGCAAATTGCCCTCTGACCTCTATACATTTGCAGGGCAGTTTTGTCCCAGCCCCACATACTAAATAAATGTGATTTTAAAAATTTAGCTGGATGGTGGTGGTGCATGCCTTTGATCTCAGCATTTGGGAAGCAGAAGCAGGGGGATCTCTGTGAGTTCGAGGCCAGCCTGGTCTACAAAGCAAGTTGCAGGACAACCAGGGCAACACAGAGAAACCCAGTGTCTTAGGGGAAAAACATTTAAAAGTGTTAGATAGGCACAATGATACTGAAGAAAGAGGCGAAAGGATCTCTGTTCGTCTAGGCCAGCCTGGGTTGGGTTGGGGACCAATCCCAGGTCCTCTGAAAGAGTGGCCAGAGCTCTAACTACTGAGTTATATCACACTAAACAATAGTAAGGTGTGTTGACATGGTTCGCCTTCTATGTTCCAAGAACAAGATGTTTTACTCCTGGGCTGGCTTGCTGTTCTTTTCCCTCCTCATTACAGAGTTTGGAGCAGGCAGCACACCCCCAGACAGGGAGCCTTAGACAGCAGTGAGACAGATGTGCTTGGGCCTGAATGTGGAGTGAGTGTTTCAGTGAGCTCAAACAGCATATGGCAATTTGCCAGTATATTGTATATTACACTAGGCTACAATGGATCCTGTCTCAAGAGAAGAAAAAAAAAGACGAGAAGGAGAAAACGAAACGTGTATGAAGGTTTTAAGATGCTGAGGCAGGGTTGTGAGTTTCAAGACAGCATCAACCTCATAGTGAGAACTTATCGGAACAAAATTTATCAAGTGTTAGAATACCTCTTTATTAGTGCGAAATCACTAATCTATCCGTACAGCATATGATCAGAATGAGGTGCTTAACACGTAGCAGATACGCAGGAAATGCCTGTCTCTAATGTTTACCTTCTCTTTTAAAGAGAAGCCTCCCCAGTTCCCTGTGGGCAGACTGCTGGCACACTGGTGGGTTCCAGCCTCTGATTCTCCTCAGTTACGTGCACCGTTTTCCATGCAACACCTACTGCTACTTTTTATTTTTCTCTTGACAGGATTTCAACAGGTCTTCCAGATGGCCTTGAACTCATAATCCCCCCAGCCTCAGCCTCCTGAGACCCTGCTTTAACAAAAGTTAAATAATATCAATTTTTTTTTTTAACAAAAGAGGAACCTAAGAGGCATAGGCACAGAATATTTAAGCTACTTCTGAAGCGTCCCTTCCTGGTGTCAGTCTCGGCTGTCCCTGTAGACGTGTCACCTAAACTCCCAGTCTCTAAACAGTTCAGCTCCGGTCCTCATTTCTCCAGCTCTTAGGCTACTGCTGTTAAGCAGCTTTGGGTTTGATCCCCCAGAACGTCTTCTGGGTGAATGATCACATAAGCATTTATAATCCGTTCCCTATCTGATCCTAATTCCCTCGTGGTCTGTTTTCCAGCAGTGCTTGAACTATAAGCAGCTAGTAAGTTATGTTGATGTTGTTACTGTGCGTGTGATGTGTGTTAGGTGCACACATTCCTTAGTGTTTGTGTGAAGGTGAGAAAACTTTGTGGAATTGGCTCTCTCTTCAGCTCTCTGTGTGTTCCAGGGATTGAATTTAGCTTGTCAGGCTCATTGGCAAAGTGCTTTACCCACTGAGCAATCTTGTCCAGTTCCTGGATTTTTTTAAAATTTTTTGAGAAAGGGTCTTATTCTATTTTTTTAATATTTATTTATTTGTTTGTTTATTATGTATATAATATCCTGTCTACATGTATGCCTGCAGGCCAGAAGAGGGCACCCAGACCTCATTACAGATGGTTGTGAGCCACCATGTGGTTGCTGGGAATTGAACTCAGGACCTTTGGAAGAGCAGGCAATGCTCTTAACCACTGAGCCATCTCTCCAGCCCCCAAGGGTCTTATTCTAAGCTCAAAAAGTGCTTCTCACCTATTACAGTCTCTACTACGTGGTAGATGTCCATTATGTCACAGGTGTTATTTCTGAGTCTGCACAAGTGTTGCTTCCATTGTTTATAGTATCCTTTTAAAACATTTTTATATTTATGTGCAGATCAGAGGACAGTTTGTAGGAGTTAGCGCTCTGTTTCCACATGTGGGTTCCAGGGATCAGAGCTGGATCCCCAGGCTTCTTATTCATATCAGGCCCTTTGCACTGAGCACCCAGTGTCCAGCATCCCTTTCTCCCCAGCCCTTGCTTTTCTGCCCTGGCTGACGTCAAGCTTGCCTCTTAGGTGCTGGATTACATCATAGCCGGTTCTACATCAATTTCTGTTTCTATTTCGAGACAGGGTTTCTCTGTGTAACAGTCCTGACTGTCCTGGATTCGCTCTGTAGAGCAGGCTGGCCTTGAACTCGCTGAGAACCGCCTGCCTCTGCCTCCCTGAGTGCTGGGATTAAAGACTTGTGCACCACCACCGCCTGACTTCTACATTTATTCATTTTAAAGAATTTAGTGATTAGAAAGAGTGAGTTCAGTTCAAAGAAGAGTAGAGTTGGTATACGCCTGTAATCCCACATGTGAGAGGCAGAGACAAGTATCAGAAGCTCAGGGACCTGACCTACACGAGACCCTTGATTCAAAACAAAAGTGGTTGGGGAGAAAGCCAGGTGTGGTAGCTCATGTTTATAATCCCAGCATTTAGGAGGCCGAGGCAGGAGGATTGCTGTGAATTTGAGGTCAGCTTAAGCTACATAGGGAGTTTTAGGTCTACAGAATGAGACTGTCTCAAAAAAGAAAACCAACTAAATATAAACTTTAAATTTTGTGAGACATCTCAGTTATTTTCAGCTAATCCAGTCTTAGAAACATAAGATCCTAAATAAAATGAAAGAAGTCTTTTTATTATTTTTAGAGCAGTGCCCATCTCTGTCTTAAGCATCTGACTATTTACTGAACTTGATGATGGGGCAGGAGTACAGCACTTACTCTGGAATTCAGGGCCCAGTATCCAATGGGGATTTATAAAATGTTGCACCTAGCTGGGCATGGTGACTCACACCTTTAATCATAGGACTCAGGTGGCAGAAAGCAGGTGGATCTCTGTGAGTTAGAGGCCAGCATGGTCTACAGAGTGAGTTCCAGGACAGCCAGGACTATGTAATGAGACCCAGTCTTGGGGGGTGGGGGAGTCACACCTCTGTGTGAGCTGCTTTGTTTGTTTGAAATCAGGGCATTCAAACATTATAGAAATGCTGTGCTTTGAACTAGGACTTTGCTCCCCATTTGTGTTTGCTTTTCTGAGGTCTTCCCAGGATCTTTTGATAAGGGTCACTTACAGGAAATGCCTTTTGTATCACTCAATCCACTTCTGGTTTCTTCGCATCGTCATACTCATGTTCCTCCAGCTCATGGGATCGCGGTATCCCAGCATGCAGCACCCCTGAGTTCTGATGGCTACTGAGTCTTCTCAGCACTGGGAGAGATCATTGTGAAGTGTATGGAATCCCTAGGTCACGCTTTCAGACATGAAAGGGAACAGTGAGACTGGAACTTTTCTTCATGGGTGTCTTAGATCTCATGTTAGAATTCTTTTTCTCTTGAGCTCTACAGAGATTGTAAAATTAGTATCTTGTTTGAATTTTTTGGGGGGTGTAGTTTGTTTGAGACAGGGTCTCACTGTATAGACGAAGCTGGCTTCAAATTCATAGAAATCTGCCTGCCTATGCCTTGTGAATGTTGGGATTAAAGATACATGCTACCACATCTGACCTTTGATCATTTTTATTAGGCCTTTTTTTAAAAAAATTATTTATTTATTATGTATACAATGTTCTGCCTGCACGTATGCCTGCCCGCCAGAAGAGGGCACCAGATCTCATTATAGATGGTTGTGAGCCACCATGTGGTTGCTGGGAATTGAACTCAGGACCTCTGGAAGAGCAGCCAGTAGTCGTAACCTCTGAGCCATCTCTCCAGCTCCTTTATTAAGCCTTTTATAAAGAACAGTATCTTTCAATTTGAAAACTCACTGGGAATAGTGGCATACATACCTAGAATTCCAGCACTTGGGAAAACTCACTGGGAATAGTGGCCTACATACCTAGAATTCCAGCACGTGGGAGGTAAAGGAAGGAGGATCAGGAATTGAAGGATATCCCCAGCTGTCTGGAAGGTCCAAGCTAGCCTGGGCTACATGAAACTATTTCAAGAAAAAGAAAAGTAAATACAAAAATGTCAGAGGGGATTCTGAGGGCTGCTGCTGTAGGGCAGAGGGATTCTGAGGGCTGCTGTAGGGCAGAGGGATTCTGAGCGCTGCTGCTGTAGGGCAGAGGGGATGAGGGGATTCTGAGGGCTGCTGTAGGGCAGAGGGATTCTGAGCGCTGCTGCTGTAGGGCAGAGGGATTCTGAGCGCTGCTGCTGTAGGGCAGAGGGATTCTGAGCGCTGCTGCTGTAGGGCAGAGGGGATGAGGGGATTCTGAGGGCTGCTGTAGGGCAGGGGCAGAGGGATTCTGAGGGCTGCTGCTGTAGGGTGGAGGCAGAGCCCTGCTCTGACGTGTACAAGGCCTTGAGTTCTCTCCCAGCATGGCAAAAAATAAAACACTAAGAAAGAAAAAGCCACGGGTCTAGTTCCTACGTTTCTACCTCATTACTACAGCTGTAGGAACCAGATTTGAATGTCGTTAGCTGTCAGCTTTTCCCTAGTGGTTTTAGTCAAAGATATTGCCAGGTAATAGTGCCTTATGCTTTTTACAGTGGTATACTTTATTGTTTTTGAGATGGGCTTTCACTGTATAGACAAGGCTGGCCTCACTGGTCATCCTCCTGCCTTAGACTCCCAACTATAGGCATTACTGGTTTGTGCCACTTATGTGGGGTTGGTTTGTAGCCTTGACATTCATCACCTATCATCACCTCCACCATGGAGAAAAGGGAGGGAGGGATGAAGAACTGTGGGCAGAGAACAAGCTTCAAGGAGTGGGGGAAAGGAGCCAATCAGTAGTAGTTCACGCCTTCATTTAAAATTGTTTGTTTGGGCTGTAGAGATGGCTCAGAGGTTAAGAGCTCTGGCTGCTCTTCCAGAGGTTGAGTTCAATTCCCAACAACCACGTGGTGGCTCACACCCATCTGTAATGAGATCTGGCGCCCTCTTCTGGTGCGTGGGCATACATGGAGGCAGAATGTTGTATACATAATAAGTAAATAAATCTTTTTTTAAAAAAATAAAGGCCAGACGGTGATGGCACATGCCTTTAATCCCAGCACTCGGGTGGCAGAGGCAGGTGGATCTCTGTGAGTTCGAGTCCAGCCTGGTCTACAGAGCTAGTTCCAGGACAGGCTCCAAAGCTACAGAGAAACACTGTCTTGAAAAATAATTAATAAAATAAAATTGTTTGTTTGTTATTTTTATGAGATAGAGTTTCTCTGTAGCTTGGAGCCTGTCCTGGAACTTTCTCTGTAGACCAGGCTGGACTCGAACTCACAGAGATCCGCCTGCCTCTGCCACCCGAGTGCTGGGATTAAAAGCATGAGCCACCCCCGCCTGGCTAAAATTATTTGTTTTTATTTTGTGTGTATGAGAGTTTGCCTACATATATGTACGTGTACTCTGTGTGTGTCTCTGGTATCCTTGGAGACCAGAATAGTGTTGATTTCCAAGAAGTGGAGTTATAGATTGTTGTAAGCCACATACAGGTGCTGGAAATCGAATCCAGGTCCTCTGCAAGAACAGCCCATACTCTTAGCCCTGAGCCATCGCTTTAGCCCTTCTTCATGCTTTCTCATGGCCGCATTTTTCTCTTGGTTATTATGGAATGGTGTGCTTTGGCCCCGCCTTACTCACTGTATTTCCAATTTTCACTTTTTTTTCTGAGAGACAAGATCTCAAGTGTAGTTCAGACTGGCCTAGAACTTGAGGCAGTCTTCCTGTCTCAACATCTTGAGCACTGAGATTACAGTCATGTGTCACCACATCTGTCCCGAACTTCACATCTTGTATGTAATCCATCACAGTCACATTTCTTTGTCCTTTCACTCAGGTGACAGTTCCTTCTTTCTCCGCACCTGGCTCATGACTCCACTTCGTGTTGCTGAAACCCCAGCAGAGTATCGCTATAACAGGGCCCATTCTGCAACCCACAGTGTGATTGAGAAGACTTTGCGAGCCCTCTGCTCTAGGTTCCGATGCCTGGATGGATCGAAGGGAGCACTGCAGTACTCGCCGGAGAAATCCAGCCACATCATCTTGGCTTGTTGTGTCCTTCATAACATTTCCCTGGAACACGGGATGGATGTTTGGTCCTCTCCAGTGATCGGACCCATTGAACAGTCACCTGAGGGCGAGTGTGAGCTAATGGAGTCCCTGGATTTGGAGGCTGACCGAATCCGGCAGGAACTAATGCTCACTCACTTCAGCTAGTGTGGAAGGTAGAAGAAGGAGACTTTCTCCTTATCAGCCCATCACCAGGTTCTGGCATCCAGTGAGACTGAATGTGCACACTTGCCATAAATTAACATTCAGTGTTTTAGAAGGGCAGGAGGTGGGGGAAAGCATGCCAGCAGATGTCAGTCAACTAGACCGAAACGAGACAATGTTTCCCTGATGTGCGGTGAGGCCACGCCGGGCACCACTCTGTTTCCCTGGTGTGCAGTGAGGCCTCGCCGGGCACCACTCTGTTTCCCTGGTGTGCAGTGAGGCCACGCCGTGCTCCACTGTTTCCCTGGTGTGCGGTGAGGCCACGCCGGGCACCACTCTGTTTCCCTGGTGTGCAGTGCAGTGAGGCCACGCCGTGCACCACTCTGTTTCCCTGGTGTGCAGTGAGGCCTCGCCGGGCACCACTCTGTTTCCCTGGTGTGCAGTGAGGCCTCGCCGGGCACCACTCTGTTTCCCTGGTGTGCAGTGAGGCCACGCCGTGCTCCACTGTTTCCCTGGTGTGCGGTGAGGCCACGCCGGGCACCACTCTGTTTCCCTGGTGTGCAGTACAGTGAGGCCACGCCGTGCACCACTGTTTCCCTGGTGTGCGGTGAGGCCACGCCGGGCACCACTCTGTTTCCCTGGTGTGCAGTGCAGTGAGGCCACGCTGTGCACCACTGTTTCCCTGGTGTGCGGTGAGGCCACGCCGGGCACCACTCTGTTTCCCTGGTGTGCAGTGCAGTGAGGCCACGCCGGGCACCACTCTGTTTCCCTGGTGTGCAGTGAGGCCACGCTGGGCACCACTGTTTCCCTGGTGTGCAGTGCAGTGAGGCCACGCTGGGCACCACTCTGTTTCCCTAATGTGCAGTGCAGTGAGGCCACACCGGGCACCACTGTTTCCCTGGTGTGCAGTGCAGTGAGGCCACGCTGGGCACCACTCTGTTTCCCTAATGTGCAGTGAGGCCACGCCGTGCACCACTCTGTTTCCCTGGTGTGCAGTGCAGTGAGGCCACGCCGTGCACCACTGTTTCCCTGGTGTGCAGTGAGGCCACGCCGGGCACCACTGTTTCCCTGGTGTGCAGTGCAGTGAGGCCACGCTGGGCACCACTCTGTTTCCCTAATGTGCAGTGCAGTGAGGCCACGCCGGGCACCACTGTTTCCCTGGTGTGCGGTGAGGCCACGCCGGGCACCACTGTTTCCCTGGTGTGCAGTGCAGTGAGGCCACGCTGGGCACCACTCTGTTCCCCTAATGTGCAGTGAGGCCACGCCGTGCACCACTCTGTTTCCCTGGTGTGCAGTGCAGTGAGGCCACACCGTGCACCACTCTGTTTCCCTGGTGTGCAGTGAGGCCTCGCTGGGCACCACTCTTTACTGTTCTCTGGCTGCAACTGTAAAACCGTAGTAAAGGAGAACAGCACATAACCAAAGCATTTGTTGTTCTGGAGATCTCAAATGAAAACAATGTTTTTCCTGATTTCTTCATTTCCTCCCTCCTTCCTTTCTCCCCTCCCTCCCTCCACCCTTCTTTTCTTGCTAGTTAGTTTGAGACTTTTCTTCTCAAAACTGATAGCACAGACTGCCCTGGTGCTCACTACATTGCCCAGGTTGGCCTGGCCCTTGTAACAGCCCTCCTTCTTCAGCCTCCCAGGTGCTGGGTGACAGGTGTACGAATGACATCATGCCTGGTACCCTGATTCTGCCTGGTGACAGGTGTACGACATCGTGCCTGGTACCCTGATTCTGCCTGGTGACAGGTGTATGAACGACATCATGCCTGGTACCCTGATTCTGCCTGGTGACAGGTGTACATCATCGTGCCTGGTACCCTGATTCTGCCTGGTGACAGGTGTACGACATCATGCCTGGTACCGTGATTCTGCCTGGTGACAGGTGTACGACATCGTGCCTGGTACCCTGATTCTGCCTGGTGACAGGTGTACATCATCGTGCCTGGTACCCTGATTCTGCCTGGTGACAGGTGTACGAACGACATCATGCCTGGTACCCTGATTCTGCCTGGTGACAGGTGTACAACATCATGCCTGGTACCCTGATTCTGCCTGGTGACAGGTGTACGAACGACATCATGCCTGGTACCCTGATTCTGCCTGGTGACAGGTGTACAACATCATGCCTGGTACCCTGATTCTGCCTGGTGACAGGTGTACGACATCATGCCTGGTACCGTGATTCTGCCTGGTGACAGGTGTACAACATCATGCCTGGTACCCTGATTCTGCCTGGTGACAGGTGTATGACATCATGCCTTGAACCCTGATTCTGCCTGGTGACAGGTGTACGAACGACATCGTGCCTGGTACCCTGATTCTGCCTGGTGACAGGTGTACATCATCGTGCCTGGTACCCTGATTCTGCCTGGTGACAGGTGTACGTCATCATGCCTGGTACCCTGATTCTGCCTGGTGACAGGTGTACGACATCATGCCTGGTACCCTGATTCTGCCTGGTGACAGGTGTACGACATCATGCCTGGTACCCTGATTCTGCCTGGTGACAGGTGTACGTCATCGTGCCTGGTACCTGATATTTTGTTTCTCACCTTTGCTGTCTACATGGGCAAATAGAATGACTTTAGTTGAGGAATAATCTAAGTGAACACTTGCCTAGCGAGTGTGAAGTACTGATTCCTAGAACTGAGAAGAAAGGAACTGCTAGTCTGCATTTGCAAGATGTTCTGAAGAGGACATTAAGGACAGTGGGAAGCCGCCATCCTGAGTGTGCCAGCACTAATTGGACTATGATTTGGATCTAGTTCCTGGGGGGACATCTGAACTCCAGTCTCCTAGTTCACTCTTGAGTCAGAGTTAGAGGACAAATGGGAGTAAAGACGATAATTTAAATATAGTTAAAACACGTTTATACTTTACAGAGAATCGAAAGACCCTGGCAGTTCAACAAGAGATTCCCACAAGTTTACAAAATTTCATATCTGACTAGACTACTTTTGGGGGGTAGGGGATTGAGACAGGGTTTCTCTATAGCTTTGGAGCTTGTCCTGGATCTAGTTCTGTAGACCAGGCTGGCCTCAAACTCACAGAGATCCACCTGTCTCTGCCACCCATGTGCTGGGATTAAAGGTGTGTGCTGCCACCACACCACCCGGTGACATTTCTTTTTAAAAATAGCACTTATTTATTTTGTGTGTGTGTGTGTGGTACATGGTGCCTGTGTGAAGGTCAGAGGACAACTTGTGGGGGTCACTTCTCTCCTTCCACTCTGTGAGTCTAGAGATTAAACTCATAGGCTTGTTAGCAAGTGTCTATCTGCTGATGTATCTTGCTGGCCTGACATCCTCCTTCCCCCCCTAAACAGTGTTTTTCTGTGTAACAGCCTTGGCTGTCCTGGAACTAGGTCTGTAGACCAGGCTGGCCTCGCATTCACAAGAAATCTGCCTGCTTCTGCCTCCCGAGTGCTGGGATTAAGGCCTCCCACCTCTGCCTGGTCCTCCTCTTCCATTTTTAATGTCGCAGTGAGATTGAATTTAAGAGTCTGTTCTCTGCTCTACCTCCAAACTATACCCTTAGCTTACTTTTCATTTTATTACTTTGTTGCTCAAGCTGGCCTTGAACTCACTAGCCTAGACGGGCCTTAAACTCATAATCATCCTGCCTCAGCCTCCTGAGTAGCTGGGATTACAGATTATGCCACCAGACTAGCCTTGGTTATTTTTTATAAGGCTAAGGTGTGAGAATATTAATGTAGTCTATTTTGGAATTCTTTGTAGAGAGGACAGTTCCGGGGAGAAAAGGGGCCATAGAGCCAGTCATAGTGGCTCTTGCTTGCAATCCCAGTACTCAGGAGGCTTGTATCGGCGTAAATAAATGCAATGCAGATACTAAAGAATATTTACACTTTAATGATAAACTTACAGAACCGAAGTTCCCGCGTGGCACAGGAGGTAGGAAGGGAAAAGACAGAGCCGCCTCCCGTGCGCCCATTTATCTGTAGGCCTTCGCCCGAGGCAAACCCCGCCCCCTCAAGGAGCTGTCTTAACCCTACATCTCCCCCTTTTGTCTAAATAAGACAGAACTAAACCAAATATAACTATAAACAATAATAACAAATGATAAATATAACAAACAATATTGAGAACAAAAGTTTTGCTAGGCATTCTATCTCAAGGAGTCTAAATAATGTAGAGAGTAACTACTATTAAATAATCTTCAACTCCATCAAAGATCTGAGAAGGGAATAAATATTACTTAACAAATGAGAGATATCCAAAATGTGCAACAAATGACAGAGACAACTGACTATCTGGGCAATCACCCAAAGTCTCGTTTGCAATGTTGAGTCAACCAACTTTGGCTAAGGCCTAACATAACTGACATACCATTATCAAATGCAAGGAACTTTCTTAGAATTATCCTACCCTGTCTTGGCAAGATAAGACAATCCTGTTTCATATCTTAGTCAGTAGTTGAGGTATGGGTTTTTCTTAACCCAAAGGCCAGTTCTGCCAAGAAGACAAGCTCCCAGTGGAGTGTCTTTGGTGCTCAACGTTCTCTCAGGAGTAGATTGGTGTTGCCAGGAGTAATTGTGTCTCGATGGCACAGAATTCTAGGTTAAAGGCCATTTTCTACAGCTCTTCAAAGAGGCTGAAGATTATACTATCTATACTAAAAATAATCTCTATGTATCTAAAAGACTTGATTAACCTAACAATAAATATGACAAACATATAATTCTCAATACCTATCTAATTTGAAAACTAAGAATAAACAACTGTGCAATATATGAAGACAATGATCTTCACCTGTAAACAATGTCATTACATATCAAAATGTAAACAATGTTATTACATAAATAGTACCAGAGGTAGAAATGTACATTGTGATATGATAGATGTATCCATACAATATAAGCATACTCTTATACAAAAATAGAGGTAGGAACACTCACATTCAATATTCAATATATCAATATACAAGAAACAGTACCAATATAATTTTCTAAAAACAGTAAGTCACAAATACCAATCATCCCATCAAACCAGTTAATCCCCCCCCTTTTTTTTAATTTCTTTTTTTTTAAATTTATTTATTATGTATACAACATTCCTTCCATGTATGCTTGCAGGCCAGAAGAGGGCACCAGATATCATTACAGATGGTTGTGAGCCACCATGTGGTTGCTGGGAATTGAACTCAGGATCTCTGGAAGAGCAGTCAGTGCTCTTAACCTCTGAGCCATCTCTCCAGCCCCTAATCCCCCCCTTTTTTTTAATATACCCCTAATTCCATAAAATATCTCCCCATCCCCTCAACCCTAAACCAACCACTAAAAGATGTCCCTAACCCTGTGGGCAAACTCTGTTGGGAGAGGGGACGTCATCCTCTTAGATTGCTTCTAGCTGACATGGGGGCAACGTTCTTCTTAGGGGCCCCTGTGAAAGCAAATGATGGTAAAATTCCCAAATTAACCTTTGACTTAAGAAAATTATAACTAGTCTCTGAGCGTTTTGAGAAGGTCCGGCCAGAGTGTTGTCAAAAATGTGCATCATTTGAAATTGTCTCTTTCAGTTGGTACCAAAAAACAGGTCTAATGTTAGCGCTTAAAAAAAAAAATTCATGGGGGGCTGGAGAGATGGCTCAGAGGTTAAGAGCACTGACTGCTCTTCCAGAGGTCCTGAGTTCAATTCCCAGCAACCACATGGTGGCTCACAACCATCTGGTGCCCTCTTCTGGTCTGCAGCATATATGTAGGGAAAATGTTGTATACATAATAAATAAATCTTAAAAAATAAATAAATGAATAAAAGTAAAATTAGTTTAAAAAAATTCATGACATCATAAAAGCCAGATTGAGTTGATGTTGTGGGGCCCCATATTCATCCTGGAAACTTCAAAGATTACTGTAGGAAAATATGTTGTTTGTTATGGGAAATTTAAACATTAACAACAAGGACATATACTGACATATAAAGAAAGACACAGATATGAGGAAAGGCAAAGAAAGTTTATCAAATATAAAATTATTCTTCTGTCCCATTTCATGGCTCCTGACCTGAGACAGAAACTCTGAAATATCTCTTATCAAGAGGCTTGGAAATGAAGAGGGACTGAGCCATAGTCCAACTCCAAAACCAGCTCTACACATTTATAAAGAAGTGTTCAATAAAACATATAAATAGATATAAAAAAATCAATACTTACAGTATATATAGAATTTTATTGTTGATACTCAGTGGGTCATAACTATTTTCCATCCATCAGTAATTAAATATTCAGGGTCCCTTAAATTCTTTGAAGATGAGTATTTTCCTGTGGAGATAAGAAAAGAACCCTGCCCCCAACCTATCTGTAATCCTTACCATCAGAATGCCCTTCATCCTTGTGAATGAATTGTTATTTATCTTTTCCAAGTGACTTCTCTTCTTCAAACCGAACCTTTATTAATTTTGACGGTATCCATAATTTTTCCTCACCTGTGGAGATAAGAGCAAAACCCCTTCCCCAACGCAGCACATCTCCTGGCTTCCATTGTGAGGTCAGCACATCCTTGAAATAAACTGGTTGATTTAGTTCAGCAGACTTTTCCATTATCCAATGTCTTTCTGCAGCCGTCGTACCCTTCTCATTAGCATTGAGAAAATTCAAGGTTAACAAAGCATTATGTAACCTATTTCTGGGGGTGTTTTCCACCCCTTTCTGTTTGTTCAACATATCCTTTATAGTTTGACTTGATCTTTCTATGACTGCCTGGCCTGTAGGATTGTATGGTATACCTGTAACATGCTTGATATTGTAATAATCAAAAAACCGTTTCATTTTCCTAGAGACATAAGCAGGACCATTATCTGTCTTTATTTGTGTAGGTATACCCATGATAGCCATGACTTCTAATAAATGAGTGATTACTGAATCAGCTTTTTCTGAACTTAAAGCAGTTGCCCACTGAAAGCCTGAATAAGTGTCAAAGGTGTGATGAATATACTTCAATTTGCCAAATTCTGCAAAGTGGAACACATCCATCTGCCAGATTTCATTCCTATGGGTGCCCTTTGGATTAGCCCCTGCTGGCAGTGGTGTTTGGTTATAGAAAGAACAGGTAGGGCATTTCTTTACAATCTCCTTAGTTTGTTGCCATGTAATAGAAAACTCTTTCTTCAAACCTTTGCTATTAACATGATGTTTTTTATGAAATTCAGAGGCTTGTAGCACACTACCAATCAATAATTGATCAATTTCTGCATTACCTTGTGCTAGAGGACCTGGCAGACCCATATGGGATCGGATGTGTGTTATGTACATAGGGCAAAGCCTGTTCCTGATCAAATCTTGAACCTGGATAAACAACGAAGTTAGTTCTGTATCATCAGGTATAAATTCAGCAGTTTCAATATGTAAAATAACTCTGCGTATTGTGAATCAGTAACTATATTAATAGGTTCTTTAAAATCTCTTAGTACCATAAGAATGGCATATAATTCTGCCTTCTGGACAGAATCATAAGGACTTTGTTCCACCTTACCCAAGTCTTCTGATTTGTAACCTGCCTTCCCTGATTTATTGGCATCAGTATAGAATGTATGGGCTCCAGTTATTGGAGCATCACGGACGATTCGAGGAAGGATCCAAGAAGTTCTCTTTATGAAGTTAAGCCGCTTGCTTTTTGGATAGTTGTTATTAATGTCTCCCAAAAAATTAGCACAAGCTCTTTGCCATGGTTCATTATCTTCCCATAATTTCTTTAGTTCATCAGCAGTGAAAGGCACTATAATTTCTGCTGGGTCTGTGCCTGCTAGTTGACGAAGTCTCAGCTTGCCTTTTATAATTAACTCAGAGAATTTTTCCACATAAGTTTTCAGTTTCTTACTTGGTTTATGTGATAAAAAGATCCATTCCAAGATAATATCATCTCTCTGCATTAAAATTCCTGTAGGAGAAATTTTTGACGGTAATATGACGAGAATACAATCGAGCTCTGGATTCACTCTCTCCACATGTGCCTGTTGTAATTTCTCCTCAATCATTGTCAGTTCCTTTTCTGCTTCAGCTGTTAATTCTCTGCGACTGTTTAAATCTTTATCACCATCCAAGGTTTTGTTCAAATGAATTATT